CTGGAGAGCTGGGCTTTAGGCTGTTGGGTTTCTTAAAGCATTTTTAATTATCATTGACCTACATTTGATTGATTTCTCCAACTTATAACTGAACTTATGAGACGATAAACCTCTAGTTAATGGTCCAGCCCTTCGTATATTCTTCTGGATGTGGCCCTCGGGGAAAAAGTGTATAAATAAAACTGTATTGTATTATTATTATTATTATTATTTTACCAGCAGTTTGGCAGGTTGAGGGTGATGCTTCCTCCGATGGTGTCTCCGAAGCACAAATACCCGATGGTGCCGAGGGTGATGTAGAGGAAGGTGACGATGCCCATCCCCAAATATAAAACAGGGATGAAGCTCTGAGGCCGGTTCATCTTGTTCTCCAGAGGAAGAACCTCTCTCTCACACACACACACACACACACACACACACACACACACACACACACACACACACACACACACACACACACACACACACACACACACACACACACACACACACACACACACACCACACACCACACACAGACAATAATATAAACGTCTCCAAACAGGACGTGATGGATTAATACCAAAGACAAACGCAATGTAAATAAGAAAAATGGCCAAATGTAAAGCATGGTTTAAGGATCAATTTGAAAGATGTTTGTTGCATTGCACATAATAACAAGTTAAAAGAGTAGTAATAAACTATTCTAAAATATAAACATTTCAAAACAGGATGTTATGGATTAATATCGTTTCATGGACTTTATAATGAAGACTACATTTATGTTGACTGAGCAGACAGAATGGAAATAAGGGGGAGTGATTATAATACCAGATCAAGATATTGAAGTGACTGTTATTTTGTATATATTGTTGATTGTTGAGCATTTAGGTGTTAATGTGTGCATATGTATAATTTATATGTATGGGTCTGTTGATTGTGTATATATAGGTAGATAGACTTCATTTGATGTGGCCCGCAAGAGCTTGGAAAGAATACAATACGGTTACATGCCACTTTACAGAAGCACGTTGCCAATAAACTACATGTCCCACAAAACATCTCATTTTGTAACATTCTGACTGAAGAGACTTGCAATTATTTGCCCTAGACTTCTGCTTCCAGACGTAGTTAATTATGAAGTTATTACCCTATCTGATAATAATCCAATGCAGAGGCAATAATGTAATATAATACATAATTTAATATATATTATAGATTGATATACGTATATTTATAAAGTCTTAAAGGTGCAACCGGCACATTGACTGCACCTTAATGCTGATGTGGCCCGCAATTAAATTGAATTTGACACCCCTGAGATAAGGTATCCGGATTCACACTTCACGTGTTTGTTAACGTACCACTCCGATTCCCTCAAAGGCGAAGATGGCCGTCCCGAAGAAGAGAGGATAGTCTTTGAGTCTTCCAACTTTAGGGAGGTCGATGGGGTACTGGATGTTCTACAGGGAGAGAACGAGGAGAATAAAAAACATTTAATATACATGTTTGCAAAAGCAATATCATATTATATGATAGACTCTTCTCTGACTGGCTGATTGGCTCTACACATCTGATCTGATATGTTTTGCAGTCAAAAGGTCCAAGACGGTAACACCTTGTGACCTGTTGGTTGACCAAGTCTCACAAATTACATAAACTGATGATATGGGTCTTTGAAGGGACAATCATTCCTGCAAAATAAACCAATATATAGCACGATGAAGCTTGACTTACAGCCATTCAAATGTGTTGCACATTAAAACTGAATATCAAGTAGAATCGCAGCAAGAAGGGTAACATGAAGGCGATGTGTTACCTGTTTTTTGTATACGTTATTATAAATGGCTGGGGACTTGTAAACAACTGTGTTTTGTAGTATTTCACTTGTTCGTGTTTCTTCACAAACCAAGAACTCTCTCCCAGATGTATTAGGCGCTTTCACACCGGAGTACTTTTCCCAGGAATAGTTCCGATAGTTCTTGGGATTTTGCGTTCACACCAAAAAGATCTGGAACTAGAACTTAGTTCATGCGAACCTTTTCGCATTAGCATTATTAGCATTAGCCCTACGGAGAGAGACTAACTTATGGCAACACAAAATAAAACATGGGAACGGTGGAGTGATGAGGAGGTGTCGGCGCTTCTGGCGATTTACTGAGCATAAAGCAACAGCACCCGAAGTCCGGGGGGCTCCGGGACTTCGGGTGGCAGTATACGCCGTGAAGTTGTTTGCGGCCTGCCAGTAAACCCAAAGCAGAAGAAGAAGAAGTGACGTCAGCGGCTTCATTTGCCTAATCCTCCCTCAGGGATTTATTCCGGTGTGAACGCGATCTACTAGGACACTTCCAGGGACTAAAGAGTTCAGCAGGACTAAGTACTGGGAACTAAGTATGGCAAAGTAAAATCTTCTCTGAATGAATGAAGGTATAACAGTGGAGAAACTTTCCTGCCTCGGTCAGACTCAGAGAAAGTTTATATTGATACTTTACATTTATGCTGACTTCCTGGATTGCAAGATACATATTTATATCATCACAACAATTGCAGCGCCAGCAAATTAAGAATGAAATGTTTTGCCATCACACAATGAAATAGCTTCTGTGTGGATCTTATGTGTGGCGACTTACAAAATCTGTCCAGCACATGAAAAATAGCCTCTTTGTTGACTCTGAAACATTTACAGAAATGTTGATGAATGTGCTAGAGGGACAGTCCCTGTTAAATAAATGAATATATAAATAAAAATAAAACTCTAGGTTAAAAGTAGAAACGTTTCTGCAGAACCCATCTCTACCATCCCTACGAGAAGAGATATAAGCAAAATGTTCTGAATTATTTCTAAAAAAGTCAAATTTTCTGAAAAGTTACATTCAGATATTTTTTGCAGAAAGTTAAAAAAATATTGTTTTACGAAAGTCAATTTTTCCATTTTTTTTTCTGAAAACTTAAATGTTCTGAGTGTTTGGATGAAAGTAAAATGTTCTTACTTTTTCTGAAAAAGTCAAATTTTCTGATATTTTTGGAAAAGTGCACATTTTCTTATTTAAAAAAAAAAATGTTTTCTGAAAAACTCACAATTTTGACCAAATTATAGAACTTTAGGAATAAGCCAGAATTTGGGGGGAAAAGTCAATTTTTTTTGAAAAAGTTAGAATTTTTAGGATTCTACTGCAAAATACATTTTGAGAGTAAAAAAAATCTAATTTCTGAGTGATTCCCACTTGAAAAAAATTGATGTTTGTCAATAAATTCTGATAAATTCACTGCTTCAGAGAAAAACGAGTAGAGATGAAATGCTATATTCACCGTGAGCGGGTAGAAGTAGATGAGGATGAATAAAGATTCAAAGACATCAAGAAGTTCCTTTTGACATAATAGGAGACCTTTAATTTAAATAGGCGCGTTCACACCGCAGTACTTTTCCCACTTTAGTTCCGATATAGTTTCGAACTGTTGCGTTCACACCAAAACAATCTGCATATATAAATGCTTTGTTCACCGTGAGCGAGTAGAAGTAGATGAGCATGAGGCTGAGAGTCATCAGTATGTTGGCCACCAGAGAGAGAGGAGCCAGGTATTTGAGGTCGGGGACGAACACCAGCAGCACGATGGCAGGAAGGAAGCACAGCATGTAGAGGCGAGAGTCAAAGCTCGGCACCAGCACCTGCGTCTGGTTGGTGTAATTCATGTGGCAGTTAAAGGTGGTGGTGTTCGCTGCTTCCACTACCTGGGAGAAGAGAGAGAGAGAAGGGTTAACGAAAGAGAGAAGGAAGGGAAATGATTCTGCTGAGGCACGAAGAGTGTTTTTCACATTTCGTATGCCTTTTTTGATGATTTGTTTAATACACATTTATTTAGCATAAGGAGGGAAATAAACATTCAATTTAAGATCGACACATCTAGAAATGAATGTTCTCTCTACAAAGGAACGGGATGGAAAACTGTAATCTGAGAAGACACTAAAGCTGTCGGATAAATGTCAAGAAGTAACAGTATATGTATTACAAAATGTACCTCTGGGGTGTAGTTGAGCTTAAGGTAGCTTGAAAGGACATTCTTAGGTACAAGACCCTCAGATTCATACTTCATTCTTACTCAAGTACATTGTCTTGTTTACACTACACCGCAGATTTTCATTTCCCATTGAGTCCATCAACACAAAGTATTTACTGCATCTCACAGATGATACAAGTGATTTTTTATTAAAATGGTCAATGATTGAGTTTCTGTTGTACTACTCAAGATTCAGGAACACTCTTTTGTTCAAAACAGGTTTAAAAGTAGAAACAAACTCCTAAAAAAGTTTGACTGTTAGTGAGACCACTATAGTAGACGGACAGCACCATCTAGTGGTGAGAAACGGTACAACACAAAGAGGTTTACAGGAGGACAATCGTTCAGATAGACAGAAAGAAGGCCAACTGACTAGCATACAACACAAACGATCCAAAGGGTTCTTGACATTATCCAAACAACTTAAGTGTACTTTGTGGATCATTGGTTTAAAATGCAGACACTACTCTGAAATCACAGGTCAGAAAATAAGACCTTTAGTAAAGTTTCCAGATGACATGATGCATGACATCAGATCAATAGGTGGTGGTAAGGTCACGGGTCAAAGGTTCGCCACGTACAAGAAGTGGAAACATTTAAGAGATTTTTGTTTCTCCTATTCAGTCCACCTCATCCGGTTTTTTGTCAAGTTTTGCCTTATATTAGCAAAGGAAAACAGATTTTTTTTCTGATGAGATTATATTGAACATTTTAGTCAATCTAGACTAGCCGAGATATCACCTTGTGTTTTTTTCTCAGGCTCTAATGATGTCATTGTTTTACTTCCCTGTCAACTAAGTTACTCTGCTCTTTGAGCCTATTTCCTAATCGACCCCTACACACTTCCACTGAATCCCTCTGTAGCCTCACAGCCGAATGAGGTGTAAATACAGCGGAAAATGAACATGTTTCATAACCACCGTTTAGAATAAGCATCTTTCGGACAAGAAATACTTTTTTTTAATGATAATAAAACTCCCCGAAAAAATTATTTTTTGTAATTTTGTGTTTTTGTTTTAAATCTGATGTTTAAGAGCTGCTTGGTTTCTGTAACGGTCCCTGTAAACACACCACACGTTATAATACAATGCAACAGGATCTTTGTGTGATGTCTTTATGAACAGGAAACAGAACTACTTCATTGAAATGGAAAAATTAAATTGGATTTCTCTTTGATTTCAACAAAAATTAAGACAATTCGGTTACGTTTCTGATCTTTCAAACTACGTTTCAGTGTGTCTTCTTCAAATATTGCATGTTAACATCATCACAGTTAAAGGTGTCCTCTTCCTCATGGAAAATAAAAGCTAAGGTCATAGTGTTTTAATGAACACTGCTAAAAAAACTCTAAAACTGGTTTGGTTTATTTGTCTATAATCACTATTTTTTCCTCTTTACTCCATTGTATGAGGTAACATGAAACACAAGAGCTTGTATATTGCCATGTTTTCTATTCAAGTGAATCCCCTCTTCTACTGGTGACCTATTTATCCAGTGTGGTGTAAGTAAACACTGAGACCTGAGTCACTCTCTCTGTGAGTACATGTACAAACATGAGCAACACTCTTACACAACTCTGCTGCCATATAACCTTCATGTGACCAGAGCACACGGAGGGAACACCAGAAAACAGGCTCACAACTCGAGCTGTTAACGAGTATCACAGAGAGCTTCGAGAAGCAGCTATGAGACAAGATGAAACCTGTATTCATCTACCTGTAGGGCAGGGACGTGCACAGACATTTGGAGGGGCTATTGCTCTAAACTGGAAAAAGGGCCTCCCCCCGAAAAAAAACATAAGACCTTTTGAAAATTGTAACTTGTTTTTAATGTAAAAGAAACCAAACGATTATTACATCAACTAAATTGAACAGTAATTCACATCTCATAACAAAATAAGCTAAGGCGACTACTTTCATTCGGTGACTTGATTTTAAAAATAAAAACCAGGGAAATTATTTGTTTTGCGGTCCATATCTCATTAAAATATCTAATGTTAATAACTATTAAAGACAAAATGGGGACAATTCTGTTCGAATGTAGTTTGACCTTTGTAACTGCTGTGCAGACATACTGATAACATAGGGCCTCTAACTAATTACCTTAAATAAACTCACTAATTAATGAAACCAGTTCAAGACGCATTATTCTTATTCTTATCATTCTTTATGAGCGCAGTAACGGTACGGTATATAATTACTTATTTATTTAGTATTCCATAACTTAATAACGGAGATGGTCAAACTAAAGTGGTAGAGACATGGCAGAATTCCTACAATGAAGCGGGACATTGAACTGTTCACCCGTGAGAGGGCGATCAAGAAAAGAGAGCGAGCGGCCCCTTTGAGTGAGTTTACAGATGAAAAGACACAGAAAGACAGAAGCACAAAAACAAGTAGGCTATATTTAGGTGTTTTTTTGTAAATAACCGACGGTATCAAGAGGAAGTAAAGTCCCCTGGTTTGTCCCTTATAC